TGCTTTTCTAAATGGGTGGTTGAAAGAAGAAGTTTATGTTGAACAACCTCCCGGTTTAGAAAATCATGATTTTCCAAATCATGTTTTTAAACTTCATAAAGCCCTTTATGGACTCAAACAAGCTCCTAGAGCTTGGTATGAGCGGCTTACCGAACATCTCATCTCACATGGATTTGCAAAAGGAAAGATCGATTCCACACTTTTTGTCAAAACAAAAGGAAAAGATCTCATAATTGTGCAAATTTATGTTGATGATATTATTTTTGGGTCAACTAATGAAGCCTTATGTAATGAATTTTCAGGAATTATGACAAGCAAATTTGAAATGAGTATGATGGGTGAGTTGAACTTCTTCCTTGGACTACAAATCAAGCAACTTGGAGATGGTATTTTCATTAGTCAAACCAAGTATGCCAAAGAATTGGTCAAGAAGTTCAATCTTGAAGACTCAAAGACATACCCGACTCCAATGAGCACATCCTCAAATTTTATGGATGATGCAAACACTAAGTGACTTTAACTTAAAATTTTCAAAAGTGCCTATTTTTTGTGATAACTCAAGTGCAATAAATATTTCCAAAAATCCTGTTTTGCATTCTAGAACTAAACATATAGAAATAAGACATCATTTCATACGTGATCATGTTGCAAAGGGAGATATTAAAATTGAATATGTAAATACACTTGAACAACGTGCCAACATTTTTACAAAACCATTGGATGAAAAACAATTGTTACATATTTGTCAGGAAATGGGAATGCTTGAATTAATGTGAAATTTAAGGTTCTTATTATCCGATTATATCATAAAAATAAATTTATCAAGTCCAAATGCTCAAAACACGCGTCTAGAGGTTGAAACAAAACACTAAGTCTGAGGCACGGCACCCGTGACGGTACCAAGGTCCTGTCCTAAATAGGTACCGCTAGAGGAGAATCGGATTTTGAAGCTGCACGGTAGCTGAACACGGTATAGAGTACCGTATACACGGTACCAAGGTACCGTTGACACGGTACCTAGGTACCGACCGTCTCGTCGGGTCAAATCTTATTAAAACCCTAGTTTTTCCCACTTCGGTTCTGCCAGTCTCTGCAATTCGTTCCGGCGTCTCCTCCCGTCTCTCTCTTCCGTAAGTTGGTTTCTCCCTCAACCTAGGTAATTCTTCATCCAATTTCTTAAATCTCTTCAATTCATCAATTACTTCATATACTCTCTTCAATTCGTGCATTACATATCAATTTTCCCATTTTCGTCCAAAATTACCTATTTTCTCAAAATCTCCAAAATGAGTGAAATTGTTTCCAATGTTCAAACCAATGCTCAACCCGATGTTCAAGATGGGTTCAAGGCTTACACCGACCCACATATCATTGAGGGGAGAACCCTAAAACAAGATGACATCCCAGTTCTCATTCTTGAACTCATTCAAGAACAAGGTTGGAGTTTCTTTCTTCAACTTCAAGCCCCCGTTTACCCGGAACTTGTTCATCAATTTTATTCTTCGATGAAATATCATCCCCAAGACCCTTCCATTACCGCCGTTGTCGCCGGCAAAACCTTCGGATTCAACACCCAAAACCTTTCCGAATGGTTTCACCTAGGGCGTCAAGGAGTCTCCACCTATTGCAAAAAGGGGTGGATTACCGACTCAAGAGATTTTAACTCCGACTCTTGCCTCCGAGTGCTAAGTAACATTGCCCTTGACCATGTCTTTGAGGACCCGCACTACTTTCTTCGTAGGCCAAATGTTCAAGACTTATCCGCAAATAGGTTCATCCTCCTCAATATAGGAGAGTGCATTCATAAACCCCAATCACCTAAACAAACCCTATGGCATGCTTCTTACCCATATTTTCGCCAAGAGAGAAATTCTTGAGGTGCGCCGTTCTCGCGTCCGCTTTCTTGACGCGGAGTGCCTTGGGTATTGTGGCCTTGTAAAGATTGGAGAGGAGTATTACATGAAGAAGGAGTTTCAAAATATTGATGAGGTGACACGAGCGGAGTATGGTCCTCGGCGTTCCATGTCATCTTTGCCTTCCACTTCACGCATGTTAGTCGATTTAGACGTTGTGCCCACGCCTTAGGAGGGGGGGGGGGGTGAATAAGGCGTTTAAAATATTTTCAGAGTTTGATAAAAACGGTGTTGGCAAATGCGGAAGCAATATATAAAACGTAGAAATAAAAGCGTAAATAAAAGGCACACCGAATTTATACTGGTTCGGGAAACCCCTACTCCAGTACCTCGAGGCTCCTCCTCAAGGATTTCCGAATCCACTAAGTTCCGGCCTCTTGAACTCCGTCAAAGCACCGCACTAGTTTTGGCAAACAACCCTTGCCAATAGGATTCACTCCGAGATTTCACAACGGCTATCTCGAACCGTTTACAATGAAGATTTAACGGCTATCTTCTACCGCTCCCCTAAGGATTTCAAAGGCTATCCTTGAACCTTTACCCAAGGATTTAAACGGCTATCCTCGACCGATTCAATATGAGAATTTAACGGCTATTCTCGACCATATAAAGATGTGTTTGAAGAACACAAACAAGAGTTCTACACAACGGCTTGAATATAAAAATGAAGAACAAAACTTAGCCGGTGTAGAAGGAAAGTATACTCTCTCAAAAATACAATTCAAACTTATGAATATGAGAGTATATAACTAGAAACACAAGCTCAAAGTGTGTGTATAAAACTCACCTTAAATTCCGAGAATTTTATCGGTTTTATAACTTTTATTAATTATTTTCCTACTTGTGTGATTCTTATTTTTCTCTCCTACAAATCTCGAAACAAAGAACTTCTTTATACTTCCTAATCCGAACATAAATATCACCTTCTACAATTAATGCCGTTGGGAGGTGATTAGGGGTGATTTGAATTTAAATTGGCAATTTGCTACAGTGATTACAACGGATCCGGTACCCTTCACGGTAGGGTCTGTACCGTCCGGTACCTAGGTACCGTGACCCGTTTGGGGGTACCGTGTCTTCCAAAAGTTCAGTTCGCCTCTGGCGGTAACTGGTTACGACGCGTTCGGCCAACCGTCTACGCCTACCGTCGGTACCTAGGTACCGTTACACGGTATGGGGGTACCGTGTAGGCAGTATACCCTACCGTGTGGGGTACCGCTAGGGGCACCGTGACTCTGTTCCGATTTTTCCAAAATTCCCTTAATCCTTCGTGTTTGAGTTTAAAACCTCTAAGATATTTGAAAATGTTTATGTGATGGTTTTAAACATATTTTGTGAGTGCTTTTGAGCTTGTGAATATAGGTATATAAAGTCATATCCTTACATTGGTTTCTACCTATATTCTACGCTAGTTTAGTGTTTCGACTTCATTATTAAGTACCGAATCTTAATGGATTCTTGTTTTCCTGAAACACTTAAACAAACGTTAAGCTCTTATATTGTTTGTTAACATCAAAACATGAGGCTTAGCAAACCAAGGCTAACAATCTTCCCCTTTTTGATGTTGACAAACAATATATTTCAAAGTGAGTTAGGCGGGAGTTAAAATAATGAATCAAGTAAGCTCCCCCTAAGAATAAGCATATTGAAAATACTCACTTTGAACTTTTTCTTGTGTTTATTAAAAGTTTAAGTTTGATTCAAAAGTTTACACAAGAATGCACTCAAGTCAAGTTGCATATGCACCACTTTGAAGTATACATCTTCTCCCCCTTTTGTCAAAATCAAAAAGGGTATTTTGAAAATTTTAACCATGTATAACTTCTTGAAACCCTCCCCCTATTAAAATGAATTTTTTGGAAAAATGATAGTTTGGAGATCATTGGGCAAAAGGTGCATTTACAACTAAACTTCCCCTAAAAATGAAAACTCCCTCTTAAATTATGCAAGTTTTTTTTAAACTTTATTTTTCAGGGATTTTTGGGGATTATTATATAAAAGGCATGATTTTGAAAATATTATTTAATAATGCAAACCAAGGCTAAAACAAATAAAAACACGTATGGGATAAGGTTTTATTTTTTTGAAAAAAAATATTAAAACCAAACAAAATATCTTATTCCAATGAGCAACTTACCTTGGCTTATGCCGCTCTTTTTTCGGCTTTGAAAATACTTCTTTCCTCTTCACGTACTTCTTCCATTTTAGGAAATCCGTATATTTCATTCTTATTGCCTTTTCTTCAACTTATTCATCATTTGATTTTTCCGAAGAGCTTGAGTCACTTGAATCATCACTTCACTCACTTGACTCTTCACTTGATGAGTCTTTTGAAGCTTTGAAGGCATTGGTAAGTTTGGGATTTTCTCGCATTTCTTCCTCTTTAATCTTTCTCAACAAAAGTTTGTGAGAATACAAGAAAGACCAAATGTGGGCGGTTTCGGCCTTATCACATTTGGGTAATAAATCTACGATACTACTATGTCATTCTTTATGTAAGGAAAATAGAATTTTCGTACTAAGCTCGGAAGTAGTATACATCTTACCCAACTTACTCAATTTGTTGACAATCTCGTTGAACCTCTTGTTCATGTCTTGGATTGTCTCACTTGACCCTTTCTTGAAGGATTCGTACTCTGAGTTTCCTAGGGCAATCATTGTTTGCTTTGTTGAGACGTCCCCTTCGTGTGTGGCTTCTAGTAGATTCCATACTTCCTTGGCCGTTTTGCATGTACTCACTCTTGCAAATTCGTCAGGGCCAAGAGAACAATGAAGGATGTTGATTGCCTTTGCATTCATGGATAATTTTCTCTTATCCTCCGAAGATAAACCTGCAAGGTTACCACTACTCGGCACAAATGGCCCATGAAGTACATTTATCCATAAATCAAAATCAATGGATTGTATAAAATATTCCATCCGCATTTTCCAATAAGAATAATTTTGGCCACTGAAAACGAAGGGCGGTGGATGCTTTGGGAATCCATTTGGGCCATTTTTTTAATAAATTTGAATTTAAAGAAAATAATAAAATTTTGAGTTTTTAAAAATTCAAATTTGAAAAGGACACAACAAGTGGATCTTTGTCGTAGATGCGGTTAAGCACTTTCCACTACGAAACTGCTTTGATACCAATTGTTAGTCGATTTAGACGTTGTGCCCACGCCTAAAGGGGGGGGGTGAATAAGGCGTTTAAAATATTTTCAGAGTTTGATAAAAACGGTGTTGGCAAATGCGGAAGCAATATATAAAACGCAGAAATAAAAGCGTAAATAAAAGGCACACCGAATTTATACTGGTTCGGGAAACCCCTACTCCAGTACCTCGAGGCTCCTCCTCAAGGATTTCCGAATCCACTAAGTTCCGGCCTCTTGAACTCCGTCAAAGCACTGCACTAGTTTTGGCAAACAACCCTTGCCAATAGAATTCACTCCGAGATTTCACAACGGCTATCTCGAACCGTTTACAATGAAGATTTAACGGCTATCTTCTACCGTTCCCCCAAGGATTTCAAAGGCTATCCTTGAACCTTTACCCAAGGATTTAAATGGCTATCCTCGACCGATACAATATGAGAATTTAACGGGTATTCTCGACCGTATAAAGATGTGTTTGAAGAACACCAACAAGAGTTCTACACAACGGCTTGAATATAAAAATGAAGAACAAAACTTAGCTGGTGTAGAAGGAAAGTATACTCTCTCAAAAATACAATTCAAACTTATGAATATGAGAGTATATAACTAGAAACACAAGCTTAAAGTGTGTGTATAAAACTCACCTTAAATTCCGAGAATTTTATCGGTTTTATAACTTTTATTAATTATTTTCCTACTTGTGTGATTCTTATTTTTCTCTCCTACAAATCTCGAAACAAAGAACTTCTTTATACTTCCTAATCCGAACATAAATATCACCTTCTACAATTAATCGGCAACCCTCCACTAATCCCCACTAATGAATTTAAATTGGCAATTTGTAACAGTGATTACAACGGATCCGGTACCCTTCACGGTAGGGTCTGTACCGTCCGGTACCTAGGTACCGTGACCCGTTTGGGGGTACCGTGTCTTCCAAAAGTTCAGTTCGCCTCTGGCGGTACCTGGTTACGACGCGTTCGGCCAACCGTCTACGCCTACCGTCGGTACCTAGGTACCGTTACACGGTATGGGGGTACCGTGTAGGTAGTATACCCTACCGTGTGGGGTACCGCTAGGGGTACCGTGACTCTGTTCCGATTTTTCCAAAATTCCCTTAATCCTTCGTGTTTGAGTTTAAAACCTTTTAGATATTTGAAAATGTTTATGTGATGGTTTTAAACATATTTTGTGAGTGCTTTTGAGCTTGTGAATATAGGTATATAAAGTCATATCCTTACATTGGTTTCTACCTATATTTTACGCTAGTTTAGTGTTTCGACTTCATTCTTAAGTACCGAATCTTAATGGATTCTTGTTTTCCTGAAACACTTAAACAAACGTTAAGCTCTTATATTGTTTGTTAACATCAAAACATGAGGCTTAGCAAACCAAGGCTAACAACGCGCACCCCGGGCCGAAGCCGAAGAAAATGCAAACACGGAGGTCCCTGCTCGTGCTCCTCGGGTCAAACGCTCAAATGCAGCGTCTCATGTTTCCTCGGCCTCTCTCATGCATCGTCACTCTCACATGGCTTCCATTTCCAAAAATCCCTTTAAGAAATTCAAGAAATTCATCCTCAAGACCGTGGTGGCTCCGATGAGGAATGATGAATTTACTGATTATGAATGATGAATGATGAATGATGAATTTACTCATTAAAATGATTATTGATGATTAAACCATGAGTAAAATGAATATATTGATAATTATTAAACGATTTGTATTGTTAACGGTATCTAGAAGAACTCTAAGAAATACCCATTAGTTAATTGATGTTAAAGCTATCTAGAAGACCTCTAGAATAGATCTTGTATTAGAATAGACTTATGAAAACATGAATATTTGATGAATTACATAAAAATGTATAAACGGGATTCGTAGACCAAACTAGAGGATGACTCGTTTGGGAATGTCCAATCCAATGTTGATCAATCGCTATATTGTTGTTGCCTTAACCGACTACAGTTAAGTGTCCGAATCATTTGCCTTAAACTAGTGATAGTTTAAGTGTCTGATTGCCTTAACCGACTATAGTTAAGTGTCCGAAATCATTTGCCTTAAACTAATGATAGTTTAAGTGTCTGATTAATAATTGTCTTACTAAGAATAGCTAAGAGCATTGTTATGATTTGTCTTTAGACTAAGAATAGCTAAGAGCATTGTTATGATTTGGCCTTGCACTAAGAATAGCTAAGAGCATTGTTATTATTTGGCCTTAGATTAAAAATAATTTAAAGGCACTGTTGGAATAATATCTGAAGTAAATAAAATATATTGATATGAACTAAACAATACCAAAACATTAAATGTCTGAAATGAACATTGTGTGCATGATATCAAATGATTTGATTAT